ATAAAAAAAAATAGACACACCTATATATATAGAGAGAAAAAATATACAGATTTTGTGTGTATATATATATATATATATATATATATATATATATATATATATATATATATATATATATATATATAGCTCAAAAAAATAAAGGGAACATTTCACTTTAATTTTGTGTGTGGCTCCAAATCCAGGCCTCCATTGGTTAATTAATTTGATTTCCATTGATGATTTTTGTGTGATTTTGTTGTCAGCACATTCAACTTTGTACAGAACAAAGTATTCAATGAGAATATTTCATTCATTCAGATCTAGGATGTGTTATTTGAGTGTTCCCTTTATTTTTTTGAGCAGTATATATATATACAGCAAATTCAGATATAAATTTGCTGTCAAACAAGACACTGAGTGTGAAGCTGATGATGAACACTAGAGGTCAGACTACTATCACTGTGAAATATCTTGGTTCGATGACAAGCAACAGAACAAGCTAATTTATCACAGCGTCAGAAAATTATACATATATGTTAGGGAATTATAGATTTCAATGATATGGTTCAGTTGGGATTTATTTCAGATTATTGTCTCATTCTTTAGAATCAGTTTTCCGACATTTTTTAAAATGAAGGTGTGGCAGCAAAATAAGGCTCTGCAAAATGCGATAACAGGCTGGACTTGTTCACTAAGTCTCTCAGTGCCAGAGAGCTATTTAGAGACTAAACCTTTGTAACAGCTCCTTTGATAGGCAATATCATTAGTTGATCACAAACATATTGTGCAAATTAAACCAGGACTTCCCTATGAGTCACTGAAAGACAAACACAGGCAGGTACACACAAAGGTGATTACATTAGTGTCCAAAATAATTGCCAAAAGCTAATCGTTTTAGAAAAGAAGTCCAAAAGATTTTAAAATGCTACGGTATCTATTATTGTGGTTCGGTTATTTTTTCTGCAAATAAAAAATACATTTCAGGACAGAGCACATTAACTCACAGGAAGTGAAGAATATTTCTTCGTGACTTTTTTCTTTATGTCGTTTGATGCTCAGCTGAAAAGGACAATTCCCAGAGTTTGTACAACAATGATTCTGCTCAGCACATGAAGCTAAGAGACAGGCAACGGTTCTTCGAAGATGTCTACCAGCACGATGTGGACAACTACCTGCCCTCTACGCACCTACAGGTCGACTGCAGGAAACGTGAGTGCCTTCTTCTCCTGGGCGAAGTAAATCTCAAATATTATCTTCTGCTTCAAATATAAGTCCCTATTATATCATGATTATGTAGATTTTGATGGAACAGTTATGTATTTAGTTTTGTATTTACGTCCTGTAGAATTCTATATTATATCTATCTATCTATCTATCTATCTATCTATCTATCTATCTTCTTGTGTAAGTGTCTCCTTGGCTATCAGACAATAAATCTGATTGCTACACTGCCAGTCGGAACACATTGGGATAAAAAGAACCAAAAAGCTCAAATATGAATAATTTTAAACAACAGTTACTCCTTTTAAAAGCATCTGTATGTTCATAATTTACATCTGAATTTTCTTTCCTATGCATTGATCGGGTGCAGCCCCCATGGGCAGTATTTCATCTATGGAGGTGAACGTGGACACTCTGGAGCAGATGGATCTTATGGATATGTCAGATCAGGAAGCCCTTGACGTGTTCCTCAACTCGAGCTCAGTTGGTGACGAAGGAGCCCTAACGTCTCCACTACCAGGTGCGCAACAAAAAAAACAAAAAAAAAACATTTTTACTTGCTGATCGGCAACTAAAAATGTCATACATCTGTACACAAAACATGCTATTCTCTGCATCCTGCCACATATACAGCTGACCCCTTGACATCGTTTAACCTTTCAAAGTTTTAGCATAGAAACTACTTCCACTGTGTGAAACAAAACATAAACTGCTGAGAGAGAATTCTAGGAAGACAAGGGTAAAATCAGAGGTGACTTGGCCTCAAGACATAAGACTCAAATTTCATGCAATCTAATTGCACCTATAGGAGACAAGCCACACCTACTGCCCCAGGGAACCTATCAGTTTAATGGAGCAAACATTCTGACACTGTGACCCAAGCCAACTTCCAATTATCTGCCGTAGTATGAGTATAGTTCAGTGAAAATTTAGCCTTGGGCAGCCAAGTAACTGCATGAAACAGGTGTGTCAAGCGTTAGTTTTTTTTGTTTGTTTGTTTTTTCCAACACAGGTTAAGAGAATATTTGTTATGACCTGTTCTCATGACAGCAACATTTATTTTTCTGAAAGGTAGAGAAAAAAAAAAAAAATCAGCTAAATCCAGAATATAAAAACACCTCTGTTTACTACTGACATTTTTTTTCTAACTTTTATTGGAGTTTTTTTTTTCCAAGCACCAAGCAATTTTATCTTATTAGAAGAAGATATGTCTTCTAGTAAATGTCAGAACTTGGAAAGAGGGAAGTGTGTGAACACCCATGTGAAAAATGCACGGCTATAAGATAGATGAGTGTGATAAATAATCTCATCTACATTCCCAGCACAATTCTCCTGAAAAAATATTTTTCAAAGTGGAGGTGTAAAAAAAAAAAAAAAAAAACACCTGGCTCCATACAGTAAGTGTGCACATTAAATTCATGATTAATTGGAGCACCTGTTGTTTGAATGGCAGAATTCTCTCCACTTCAGCTGATATGACAGTTACAATCAGTCTGATTAACCTAACGCACAGAGCAGCTGTCCCTGATGGATTTTCTCTTTCATTTGCATTCTTTGCCTAAAGCCATAGCTCAAACAGTAAATTAAAAGCATCTGTTTGTGCAGAGTTACAGTCATAAAGAGAAAACTTTACGATGGGGTTGGCCAGGCCTCTCCCCTGTGCCTTCAGCTTGTTCAAAACGCTGCTGCTTCGAACATATCTCACTGGTTCTGCTGTAGAGTTAATTTTGAAATCCTTCTGTCGGGTTATTAATGCCTTAATGCTCTTGTTGCTCCGTAACTCGCCGATGTGATTCAGCCTATGTTTCACTACAGGCAGTTGGATCAGCAGACCAGTTTCTATTGGTTGTGTCGAAATTCATCCTGAAGCTTGATATATTAGATTAAAAAAATAAAGTTTAAAACAAGCTTATTTTTAGTGGCCTTTGACTTTGCAGTTTTGTTTTGCTTTCATTTTAGTAATTTTAATCAGTGTTTGAGCATATTTTATTTATTTATTGCTATTTGTTCTGTTATAATAATATTAATTAATTTGATCTCTTTTAGAATTGTGCAACATTTTGGTTAAATTGTATATATATATATATATATATATATATATAATTTTCTTTTTAAGTAAAATTGATTCGGATAAAAGTAAAAGCGCTATGCGTATACATACCAACTACATTTTTACAGCATGTAACATGGAAGGCAGTTATTATTACTTAACAGCAGTCAAAGTGAAAGTGAGTAGATAATTGATGAAACTAGTTAGTGAAGCTGGCAGAAGATCGACACTCAAGAAGCCCCAGGTATTGGACTTAATATGCCAGGATATATAATCCCATAAGCCTTTGCAAGGAAATGTGTGTAAAGATGAACATCTAGGCCACAATTCTAGATGGTAATTTGGCACAAAAATACCCAAAGATGAACACGCCCACAGTCAAGCATGACGGCAGCAACATCATCGTGCACTGAGGTTACTTTTGTTCAGGCACTTTTGTGAAGCTGGTGAAATTTGTGATTTCATATTTGACCCAACAGAAGAATATTAAAGTTCTTCTGATGAATATTAAACTTGTGAAAGCGTGAAAGCCAGAGTGTAAAACGATTCACATATCTTTGGGACACTAGCATTCCAATAAAACAACGCAATCACATTTTAGGCTCTTCTGTGTGCATTTTAATTTAATATTTATCTATTTAAAAATCCAAATCTGATAAAATTGACTTTAACATGTTGTTGTTCACCTAGTTATAGATTGTGAGGACGATGACGAAGACGAAGTGGATGAAGAAACAGAGGTTGTCTACAGGGATCGAGCGCCGCTGCAGAGGCAAAACGAAGTCTACCGTGGATCCCAGTCTCGATTTTCTTCAACGTCGTCTGGTTCCAGTGTTACCAGTGCAGGCGGAGCCGACACACCGGTGATCCAGTCCGATGATGAAGAAGTACACGCCGACACTCTGCTGCTGACCTCTGTTCCCAATACAAGAGATGAAGAAACAGAGGAAGAAGATGAAGAAGAACGATGCTTTTCAACAGCCCATCAAAAAGACTGAATATTTCTCCTTTCCCCTGTGCATATGCATTCTTTTCTAATGAGCTGAAACGCCCCGCATGTTTGGGTCAACTGTGATTACCTTTGTCCTTTAGATTGTGCATTCTCCTTTATGATTTACCAACTAACCACCTTTACTTTACAAGTTTTACGGTACATTCATTTGATAGTTTCTTGGCAGTTGTGTCAGAAGACGTTTATATCAATACAATGAGGCATTTTTTTTTTTTTTCATCTGCACAAACTTGTTCTGGTTGACATAAAACAAGTTCAGTTTTATTTCACAATTTGCCATGGGGGATCCTTGTGACTGTTTTTTTATGATCATATTTTTCTTATATTAAAGGCTCGGTTTCTCAACAGATGAACGAAGAACTAAAAACAAGATCGTCACTTGGCCATAATTCAAGTAGGCCACATGACCTAATTGAACCCTGAAACCACAGGTGGACTCTATTTAAGAATTAGGTTGGTTCTGGGAACAACTGGTTGTACTTGACCTTTAATACAGCTCTGTTTCAAAAACATGAAACTCGTTATGAGTTGCAAATAGAAAACGTATCTGTTTTTTGAGAGACACAGAAAACACATTAAATCAAGTAAGTCAAAGATCTGGTTGTGAATGAAAGCAGTTCAACCATGCTTTTAATGGAACACATGTCACAAAAGAGGCCAAGAAATAAAGGTAATAACAGACTGCTTTTTTAAGACATACAGTAATAAAAACACACACCACAGTATTAAATGAATCAAGCGTAAAAGCCTCTGTTGAGCCTGCTCCTGGATTTTCTTTTTGTTTCATGTTATTTTAGACAAATCCTTTTGAAGTTTGTTGGATTATTTGCCATGCAATTATAATGTTGCATTATAAAACACAGTGCCGTTTTTTTTTTTTTTTTTTTTTTTTTTTTTGAAAACGAATTTTGACTCAAAACT